ATGTTATAATTACGCAATTCGTTCATAAGTTTAGCTGGGAGTTTGGAAGTACCTCCAAATTTCAAATCATTACAGAAAGTTCGTTATATAAGATATTAATTTATGAACGATTATCATTAAACGTTCTTAACCATTCTAGGTAATTCTATATGGAAACGCTTAATTTTGGTTCCTCGTAATATATTACATTTGTTGGCAAATAATCAGCTAACATATGCATTGTTGAAGAATTATTCTAATTGCATCACCATTAAGAAAATCAGCATATGCACGTGCATCGACACTATACACACACACATACACATAACTAAAATAAAGATAATAACATATGTATACATATACTTACAACTGAAGAATTAGGCTTAACTAAACGTTGAATTACTCGACTTATTTTTTTTCTCTTCTGGTTCGCAATGATTCTTCGTGACGTCGTTGCACGTTTTTGTATAAATACATTCGTGAAAAAAGAAAAATAGTTAGAGAACCTATTTGTTACGTCATGTTTGTTTGCATGTTTTGTAAGTTAATAATCCAAGATCACCTGTCACTTCATGGCTATACACAGTATATTGTTAGAATGTTCAGTACGACACATGTAGAGGCTCATGTGGTTGCATTAATTTTTAAAAATTAATATCGATTTAATACGGTTCGAAATCAAGAAGAAAGTTGTTGGAAAAAAAACTCAATTATCGTTGGAATTGATTTTTTTTTCCTTCGGAAAACACAGAAAGAGAATTAGGATGTTGTAATTATCTTTATTTATGCACTTTTTATCGTGCATATAATTTTCTCGTACGTGAAACAATTTAATACCTAATAGATAATCAATATAATAATAAAAAAAAACTTGTAGACTACGTTAAAAACTCGTATACTATAGTTAATAACGTTGCATCTGCTATTCTTTGCTCAAGTCTCACAGTGTTCTTTCGAAAATTCGAAACGAAAATGTTCCTCCCTGTTTTTTTTAGCATACTTATACCTTGTATTTAAGGCTCATGATGCAACTATATTATTATGTTTATAAATTTATCCTCAGTGTGGTCTCATGTCTTTATACTTAAACATAATAAAACGTTATTAAAATGTAGGAAAAATCAATAAAAATAAAATTCGAAAATCTACATAAAAACCGACATCATAAACTGAAGCATAGTATTAAATATGCATTTTTGAAAAGTATTCCAAGATCTACATTTGTGGCTTCTAAGTAAAGGTTTACACAACCCTCATTAAAGTAAAAGAGTAACAGTATTTGGAAATAAAAAACAATTGCTTGTACTTTTGGCCATACTTTTGAAAGAGCATATATTGATCTAAATAAAGCACAACTTGACGATCTAAGGTTGATATAACTTGGAACCCCCTAATAATCACGTGGTAAAAGTGTGGATCTTTGTACGTCGTGTGAGTTTAACATGTTTTACGTTACATAATCACAAGTGAAAGGCAGTGGTTATTCTAAGGAAAACATACCACAGCTCCTACACCATGGTAACCAAGTCGGTGGAATAAGGGGGTGGGGGTCTGTAATTTCTAATTTATATTTTTTTGACTAAATTTGGCTACAGTTTTAAGCAGTTTCGAGACACTAAGGGTTGAGTATTTCTTTCCATTTTTGGGATCTGGAGTTTTGAAATGGTCGACGTTTCGGTCTCAGAATGTTGAGACTTTACCTTTATTAATCTTAGTGGATGGCCTGAAACGTTTCGAAATAGCTCACCAACATCATTCTCATTAGCTAGAGTGAACTACAAAGTTTGATTTTGTTTTCTCTATGTAATTAGCTTTAAAGGATAAGCTCGATGATTTTGTCTAGAGTGAACTACTAAGTTTGATTTTGTTTTCTCTATGTAATTAGCTTTAAAGGATAAGCTCGATGATTTTGTCTAGAGTGAACTATTAAGTTTGATTTTGTTTTAGCACTCGAGTAATTTTGCACTAAATTCAACAAACAAACAAACTCTCCAAATATCGTAGTTGTTTATTCATATTATATTCTTATTTTTTGTTATATGTTAAATCTAACATTTTAATTTAGTTCTTACGAACTTGTGACGTCACCAAGGAGGTTCTTTTGTCCAGAAGGATAAAGAAGGATATTTAAAACCTCTTAGTGATTCTTGTCAATGAGAACCAAATGAACAACTTATATGGAACTAATGATTGTCAATGAGAACCAAATTAACAACTTATATGGAACTAATGCTCGTCAATGAGAACCAAATGAATAACTTATATGGAACTAATGATCATCAATGAGAACCAAATGAACAACTTATATGGAATTAATGATTGTCAATGAGAACCAAATGAACAACTTATATGGAACTAATGATCATCAATGAGAACCAAATTAACAACTTATATGGAACTAATGCATCATCAATGAGAACCAAATGAATAACTTATATGGAACTAATGATCATCAATGAGAACAAAATGAATAACTTATATGGAACTAATGATCATCAATGAGAACCAAATGAACAACTTATATGGAACTAATGATCGTCAAAGACAACTTTTAAGAATGCTATCAACAACCCTTAAAGGGTGCGAATAATGAGGATAAATATCCTCTTCGCTTCTATTTGACGTTTTTTCTTTTAATAACATAGTACCTTTTTTATGTGGTTATGTTAGAGGTAGAATAAGAATCATTTTGGTCGCACTGAGATTATGGATGACACGAAAAATAATTCAGAAGTATGGTTCCTATTACTAAACGTAATTCAGAAGTATGGTTCCTATTACTAAACGTAATTCAGAAGTATGGTTCCTATTACTAAACGTAATTCAGAAGTATGGTTCCTATTACTAAACGTAATTCAGAAGTATGGTTCCTATTACTAAACGTAATTCAGAAGTATGGTTTCTATTACTAAACGTAATTCAGAAGTATGGTTCCTATTACTAAACGTAATTCAGAAGTATGGTTTCTATTACTAAACGTAATTCAGAAGTATGGTTTCTATTACTAAACGTAATTCAGAAGTATGGTTCCTATTACTAAACGTAATT